TCCCTTCTGGGCCACACCATTTAGATGACAACGCAAAACCCTGTTGAGATCTCTCTTTTCCCTGCCACAGTGATGGGCAACATTTGCAAAGGTGGCTGCTCTGTCTTCCTGAATCTTGGAGTGACTACAACAGCAGAGTCCACTGCCAACCTGTGATGGACAGGCAGACAAAAGATAGGCAGCATGAACCAGAAACACACCTTTATGGGTTTAAGCCATTGAGATTTGGGTGTGGTTTGTTATAGCACATCCTGTATTGACACATATAGAAGGCTTGTGTTTTTAGCACTTTGGGGAATTTTCTTTATTATTTCCTCTCTCTGTTTTTTCTTCTGTCTCTCTCACTTTCCTCTTTCTTTCTGGAACTGTTAGGCAGGTTTTGGAACTTTTGAATGTATCTTCAATGTCACTTAATTTCCTCTCTGACCTTCTGGCAGTTTTCTGGGAGAAATTCTCAGATTAATCTTTAAAAAATTTTTTTTTCTTTATTGATTTGAGAGAGAGAGAGAGAGGAAGGGAGAGGGAAAGAGATAGAAACATTGATTGGCCGCCTCCTGCATGCCCTCCACTGGGGATCGGGCCCACAACCTGGGCATGTGCCTTGACCAGGAATCGAACCAGTGACTTCTTGGTGCATGGGCTGAGGCTCAACCACTGAGCCACACCTGCCGGGCTCAGATTAATCTTTTAGCTTACTACTGTGTTTCCAGCCATATTCATTTCGCTATCCAGCCTTTTCTTTTTATTTATAATTTTGTATTTCTATTTCTTTTCCAAGACCTCTACTTGCTTCTTCTCCATAATGGATTGTTGCTTAATGCATGTGTAATCTTCTGCATTCTATCTAAGGCTATTAATTATGTTAAAAGTCTACTGTTCTGTTAACGTTTCCCCTTTACTTGTTAGTTCTCAGGTACCTCTCTTCCAGAGCACTGGCTTTCTTTTACTTAGTTTGCTGACTTTTAGTGGTTTGTAATACTTTTTTTTTTTTTTTTATCCTCACCCGAGGACATTTTTCCATTTTTTGTTCAGATAGAGTAGGAGGGAGAGAGAGAGAGAGAAACATCGACGTGAAAGAGACACATTGAGTGACGGCCACCTGCATGACCCAACCAGGGCCGGGGACAAACTGCAACCGAGGTACGTGCCCTTAGTGGGAACTGAACCCGGGTCTCTCTGGACTGCAGGCTGACGCTCTAACGGCTGAGCTAAACCAGCCAGCGCTGTAATACTTTGTATTTGGGGATTCCTATCTGCCTGATTGCTGATTTGATTACAGTGGAGTGATCACAACGCTTCTGATTTCTGGAGAGGAAACAGCTGGCTACCTGGGCATCTGTGGTCTGCTGGGTGTGAGAGCTCTTTGTCCTTCAGGGAGTTCTCAGCTCCCTGGGGCATCGCACTGCGTGCCCCTCTGTACCGCTCAGTACAAAGGGAGGTGGGGGCCTCAGCCTAGTTCTGGAAAAGTACCACCGACACCTTGTAGCCATTGATTGTGAACTTGGTGACCCCCCCAGAGCTCACTCTTGGTGGTCCTCTGCTTCCTGCATTTTAAACTGTGCTTTTCCTCAAGTCTTGTTTCTTCTCTAATAACAATCTTTAGTAATTTATAGTGAGGATTACACAAAGCATGTGTGTGCACCAAATATGGCCCGTAGATAGCCAGTGTTTAGCATCAGCCTTAGAGGTTATCTTAAGGAAATGGGTGTTTATTTTTTTAAATAAAAAAGTATACATCCTCCTTCATGGATGTCTTTTGTGTTAAGAAACCAAACAGAAATAAAGAGTATACTCCCCTGCAAAAAGTATACAAGTAATACTTGTTTCTTTTGGAAATTAGAAAAGATAGATAAGCATAAAGAAGAAAAATAAAAACCAACCCCACCCAGAGACAACCAGATAACTGGTGGTAGTTAACATGGTGCACTTTCTGACATACACACATAAATATGCAAATTTATTTATTTTTGAAATTGATATCAAATTCTGATAACTTTTTAAAAGTTGTTTTCCACCCAACAATATACATCATGGATGTCTTTGCAAGTCAATAGATATATATTTGCATAATTTAATATGTAGTGTTCCACTGTATTTGGGGCTAGAATATATCCAACGATTTCCCTATGTTGTAGGACAATGAAAAGCTAGGAAAATTCTGGGACATGCAGAATAGGGAAACCGAGGCAGGAAAGTTCAAGTCAAAAAGCTTTGCAGGCCACTGGTAGCAGGGCCTTATTTATTTATTTTTTAAATGTGCCCCTAGGGGGAACCGAACCTGGGATTCTCTGGTCAGCAGGCCGTCCAAGCGACAGTCCAACCGCTGAGCCAAACCAGCCAGGGTAGAGGGCCTTATCCTAAGAACAAAGGGTTAAAACCTCTCCTTCTCACAGAAGAATTCAGGAGAGGAAGGAGAGGGGAAGAGGAAGAGGAGGAGGAGGAATTAGAGATCACTTAGTGCAAATCATCCTAAAGTTGTTAGAACAGCAGGGAGGAGGGGAAAATAGGAGTTAAAAAAACAAAAACAAAAAAAGGCCAGGTACTTCCCATAAATTGTGGGAAAGCCATAAGAAAGAAAGGGGGAGACTTTTAGAGTTAATCTGTAGCAGGATATCTAACATAAGAATAAAAAACAACAACAGCCCCGCCGGGTGTGGCTCAGTGGTTGAGCTTCAACCCATGTACCAAGAGGTCACCAGTTCAATTCCTGGTCAGGGCACATGCCCAGGTTGTGGGCCCAATTCCCAGTAGGGGGCATGCAGGAAGCCAATGTTCTCTCTCATCGATGTTTCTATCTCTCTCTCTCCTTCTTCCTTCCTCTCTCCCTAAAATCAATTAAAAAAAAATCTTAAAAAAACCCCAAACCAACAGCACTTACAGACAGAAGGGTATATAAAGCAGAAACCGCCCACCCCACTTGCTCTTCAGATTAGCTGAGAGTCCATCTGTGCTTTATGAGCCAGATTTTTGTTTGCTTGCTTTGCTTCATTAATAAATGAACATGCTTTAATTTTTATATAAATTCACTTGCATTAATGTTTTTTTCACTTGCATTAATGTTTTAATAAATTCACTGAACCCAACACAAATATCTAGAGTATCTCATTTAAATTCTCTTTTTGTTGTTTTTTGTTAATCTTCACTAGAGAATATTTTTCCATTGATTTTTAGATAGAATGGAAAGGAGGGAGGGAGAGAGGGAGAGAGAGAGGGAGACAGGGAGAGAGGGAGGGAGGGAGGGGGGAAGGGAGGGAGAGAAGAAGAGAAGGAGAGAAGGAGGAGGAGAAGGAGGAGGGAGAGGAGGAGGAGGAGGAGGAGAAGGAGAGAATCATTGGTTGCTTCCCACATGACCCCCATGGGGACTGGGATCAAACCTGCAACCCAGGTAGTGCCCTTGACCGAGAATTGAACCTTTGGTCTGTGGACTGATGCTCTAACCACTGAGAAAACCAGCCAGGGCTATTTCAATTCATTTATATGAGAAAACAAGGGTCGAGGTTGGGGACAGCCTGCTCCTTCTGATTCAGGGGGCTGTCCAATAACCCCTCTCTGGGGTCTGTGAGGTGCTTCTCACACCTCTTGTTAGACATTACATTGTTTCTGTTCACGCTTAATAAATGGGCTACAATCATCATCTTTGTACACATATCTTTAGGATACAGTTCGAAGTGGAACTGCTGTGTCATATATATCTGAGCATGTAAGAGTTTATGGAGAAGAGCATTTTCAGATTAAGGAAGGCAACTCAAAGGCTGGACTTTCAGATATTTGCAATCAGGAGGGAGTCCCAAGCGGTGGTTCCCGCAAAGGGGTTGGGGATCTCAAACTCACACCAGGAACTGGCCATCCCTTGTGACTATCCCTCCCTAGAGACATCTAGGAAAGGAGTTAGTGCAGCCAGTTTGGTGAGCCCTTTCTCCCTTCCATTCCCAACACCCTCCCCTTCGGGAGGGCAGGGCAGTCAGCCTCCATCCAAATCTGGAAGTGAAACTTGCTTCAAAGCAGAGCACGGGTGAGTCAGTAGAGGACTCACGAGGTCCGGCCAGGGCTCAGAAGGCTGCTCTGGGCCCAGGCGCCCCACTGGGCCTCTTGAAGCCCTGCCACCCCCACCCCCCCTCCACACTGCCCCCATCCCAGGCTGTAGGTCAAAAGTGGTTGAGTGTTGGCATTATTTAGGTACCTCTGGTCTGGTTGGTTCAGTTCTTTCCGTCTGCAGTACATTTATTTAGCACTCATTCTGGGCTAGTTGCAGAGAAGCACTTCGTAGTAATTGTTTAACTGTCGCAACTTTCTGAGGCATCAGAATCGTTCCTCCCTTGTCAGAAAACAAGACTCCGGCTCAGAGGTTCCCCTTTTGGCGCTGTTTAGGGGCTGCCTCACCCTCCAAACTCGAGATCTCAACTAGCGCCTCTGCCACTTACTGTGCCGCCCCAGGAAACTGTCTCCACTCGGCAGGACCGGTTTCCTTCTCAGTGGGGTCTCAGTGGGGTCTCAGTGAGACGTCTCCTTGATCTTGTTCGCACGTTAGAAAAATCCCCGTGGGATTCAGCGACTCAGTCTTCTCATCAATAAAATGGGGACAACAACCCCAGTGCAAAAGCGCACCAGGGATGAGCTGTTAGGACGCAGTTCCGGGGCCGGCGAGGGGGAGGGAGCCCCACCCCCACCCACCACGTGGAGGGTCCGCCCCACCCGCAGCGTGGGGCGGGGTCAGCGCGGCCAGGGCACTGGCCAATGGCACAACGCGGCCGCCGGTCCCACCGCCCCCGGGCAGCCCCGAGGGGAGGGGGCGGCGAGAGGCGGGGCTCGGAGGCGTGGCCTCCGCTCCCCCGCCCTTTTTTCTTTTTGTCCGCCTAGATACCGAAAGGCCCCCTGCGCCTTTAAGAGGCCGCCGCGGGCAGCCGATTGGCCAAGACGCGCCGGTGACGTCACGCCGGGGCCGGCGCCGAGGCGGCCCCGTCCGCCCGCGCCCTCCCTCTCCCGCCCCGCCGCAAGCTCGCGGGCAGTCGGCGCGCGGGCCGGGCCGGCGTCCGCTCAGCCTCGCTCGCGCGCGTCGCCCCGGGCCCCAGGGGATGCCCCCGGCCGGGCGCTCCCATGGCCGCCCAAGTCTTCATGTGCTCCCCGCGCCGGCCCAGCAGCCCGGGCCGCCCGGCGCTGCTCCAATCCCCGGCGCCTGAGGACGACGACGACTCGGACACGGATGAGCCGTCCCCGCCGCCCGCCGGCGGCGCGGCCACCGCGGCCCGGGCCCACGCGAGCGCCGCGCCGCCGCCGCCCTGGGCCGGGCCGGGCCGCGAGGAGCCTCCGCGCCGCCAGCAGATCATCCACAGCGGCCACTTCATGGTGTCGTCGCCGCACCGCGAGCACCCGCCCAAGAAGGGCTACGATTTCGACACGGTCAACAAGCAGACGTGCCAGACCTACAGCTTCGGCAAGACCAGCTCCTGCCACCTGTCCATCGACGCCTCGCTCACCAAGCTCTTCGAGTGCATGACCCTGGCCTATAGGTAGGGGACCCGGCGACACCCGTCCGGCCCCACCTGTCGGGCCGCGCTCCCTTCTCGGACGAAATAAGCTTGCGCGCGGGGGGGGGGGGGCTGGGCCGCCGGGGGCTCCCCTTGGCTCCGTGCATTCCCTTTGGGTCGTCCCCTTCGGGAGGGTGCCTGGGTCTGGGGTCCCGGCCTCTGCCCCGGTCAGCAGTGCTCGCGTTCTTCCAGCCCGCGTTCCCCATCCAGGCCCTGCCCTCCAGTGTCCCGAGGCCAGCGATTTTGGACGAGAGGGGTGTACATACAGAGCTGCCCCTCATTCCTCCCGCCCCCCGACGCTTTGTGTGTTTCCGGCAGTGTTGTGGTTACGAACACCTGTCCGGGGGGGGCTTAAGTGCGGGTTCCAGGCTTGGACGGTCGTGCAGAATCTCGGAGCCCAGTTTCCGCTCTGATAAAGGGGGTGACAGTCCGATCTGCTTCCCTGGGCCGGGGTGGGGAGGGGACGAGACAGGTCGAGTGCTGACTCCAGTGCTGGCTTCTGGTTAGATGCTCCAGCTGTTAGCTCCTTCTCTCGTCCCCGCAGAGGGAGGCTGGGTCTCCTCCCGTCCCCTCGATCGGGAAACCCTCCCCCAGCTCGGGAGGGGCCCTGGGTGTCTCCCAGGAAGACTTTTTGGAGCCACGGCTATTAGAGGTGCAGTGTGTCCCCCTGGCAAGTTGGAGGGTTCTCTGGCCGGCCCTGAAACATTATATGGAGATGCCAGTGTTCAGGGCAGGCATCCCAGACTCCATCCTGACATGTGGATTGGGCCCTGGGCAGAGGTCTCTGTTTTCCTAAGCGGCTGAAATGCCTGGCCCTCCCTTTCCATTCTCCCATTCTCTTCCTTCCTCCGTGTGTGTGTGTGTGTGTGTGTGTGTGTGTGGTATTTACCTTGGGTAACTTCTGCCTCAGCAGCAGAAGCACTTTGGACTAGCTACAGTGCAGAGAGCCCAGTCCTGCACACCAGCTCATACCTGGTAGGATCTCTGCTAAGCCAGGCCTGTTGATTTAGTAACTGGACTGGCTGGGGCTGTCTTAGGGTCTTCTCTGCAGGCAGCCTAGTAAGTTTCCTAGCAGATTCCAGGAAAGTGTAAAGAAGAGTAGGTACACCCCCAACCCCTCTTGTTTTGGAGAGCCACGAGCCCGGAATACATCCAAGTTAAAACATTACGCATTTACCTGAAGTGAAAACACTGGATGCAGAGCTCCCGGGTGACATTTTCCTTTTCTGGAATAAATGATTAATCCATTTGTTCTTTTGTTATGTTCCTGAAATGCCCCCACCCTCCCATTTCCTCCCAAGCTTTCCCTAATGGTTTGTTTGCCACAGGCCGCGTAGGTTACCCATCACGCTTCCCCCACCCCTTCACGGCGCATTGGCCGGCTCTGCTCTGCCTCTCTGGTCTTGCCAGTTTGAGCTGGCACTGAGCCTGTGGAGATGTTCTTTCTTCCTTTTGTGTTAAACAAATGGTATTGAGATTGCAGCCCTCTCTGCCTCCTTTTTGGCCTGCTTACTACACCTCCGATTTTGATAACCTCCGCTGGAATCAAACCCAACTACATCATATGTGTGCTCCAGGGTGACAGAGCCCTTCACACACAACGAGGGGTGAAAGACAGGAATTCGTTTTATTAAAAGAAGTTTGTCCTTTTATTTTAATATAAACTCCATGTATGGAAAGAGAATGGATGACTGAGTAGCAGGAGGTATGGGCTAGAAAGCCCCCACCTAAACTCTGCTAAAGGAGAATATAAAACCAGTCTTCTCCTTTGCCCCCAGTTTGATAACCTAAAGGCTGCTTGTTAAATAAAACCAGGGAATTTTAGTAATGGCATTCCCCCCACGACACTTCTTTCAAAAATATTTTGGCAACTGGCCATTACTTAATTAACTTTCTTGATTGCAAAATGTACCCTTAGTTTGGTTGGAGACTTACCTTGCTCTTAACACCTCCCACCCCTGCTGGCTCAAGTCCTACCACTGCGGTCCCTGATGGGTATCTGCCGAGTAGTTTCTCATGGAGGTGCTCTGTCTCTGTGTGAAGCCGTTTTGGATGGCTCTCGAGTTGAGTTGGCAGCGTGGAACTTTGGTACAGAGTGACAGAGGAATGACCCAAAGCCAGTTGTCTGGGCTGTAGCCTCTGGCTCAGAAAGCAGCACAGGAGCAGAAGGGAATTTCTGACCTTAGCTAGCTGGCTTTCAAAGAAGCAGGGTCCAGGTGTGTGGGGGGAGGGCAACCAGGGGAGAAGACTTAAACTCAGAGATGGTCTGACTTCTCTTTCGGTTGGGCCTGACCCTTTACCACTGTTTCCAGGTTTTCTCCTTCTCCTTGGCCAAGAGGAAGGCCAACTGGGCCTCCTCTTGGCCTTCCTCTTCTGTGTGACTGTTTCTGGCCTGGGCCCTTTCTAACCAACTTCCTGTCTGTCCCCTGGCCTCTTCGTTCTAGCTGCCTAACTCTCCCTGGTACACTCTGTGCTTTTTTTTGTTTGTTTGGTTTCCTGTAAACTGCTGCCTTCCAGCTGTTTCCAGATGAGGTTCAACAGCTCTTTGGGGGAGGAACTAAGTGCAGGGGAAGTTGTGGTTATTTTTTCCCCAGTCCTGTGAAGTGGTCTAGGGATTCTGAATATGATCTGTTCCTGAACATGCAAAGTCTTGGACTCCTGAAGGGTCTTTGGCAAGACTGACTTTGGCTGGGGAAATAGGATGTTTGAGAAATTGGGACTATGTGAGTGCCCAGTGGCCCACGTGGGTAAATAACAGTGCTGATAGGACTCCAACTTCATGTAGTTTCCTTTTTTTTCCTCAAAATTATTGTTATTATTACTTAATCCTCACCCGAGGATATTTTTCTATTTTATCTTCAGATAGAGTGGGAGGGAGGGGGAGAGAGAGAGAGACAGACACACACACACACACACACACACACACACACACAATCGATTGGTTGCCTCCTGCACAGATCAGAATCAAACTCTCAACTCATTGGTCCAAGGGCCAGCACTCTAACCGCTGAGCCAAACTAGCCAGGACCCAAGTAGTTTCCTTGAAATCATGTCCTTCCCACTCTGTGATGCTCAAAAGCCCCATATCGAAACATTTGGATTTCATCCTACATCACATGTTCAGTGATTGGGACGTTTGGAGGGGAAACGTTTGCTTTTCCCCAGGCAAAACTTACATGATCAGAGCTTACCTTTTCTCAGCCTTTCTGTCAGCCACTGTAAATGGGGAGGATAAAACAGCCCTGCAGGGCGAATGTTAGGATTAACTAAAATAATGTCTGTGAATGTGTCTAATACCTGGCAAATAACAGGGAGGTTTAACAGGCAGAATCCAACTCTGTGTCCTCATTCAACTGACATTGACTGGGAGCCCAAGTTTCTCATCTGTAAACTGAAGAAAATAATGTGTTTGACTGGGTTCTTTTAGTGTGGCTTTCAAATGTCTGCTTGACAAATACTAAATAGATGCATTCTTAGTTTGCCCATACTTTCTAAGGCTCTACAATGGAGCTGTATACTCTAGAACATAGATCATGGTTCTTGCCCTCTTAGCATTTTCAAGAATGTCACACATGTAAATCACCCACACAGATTTTGAATGCATCTAGTATGTAGCTTTTTGTGGTTGGTTTTGGTTTCACTTCTCTACCTTTTGATTTTTTTTTAAATATGTTTTTAATGATTTTTTAGAGAGAGGAAGGGAGAGACAAACATTGAAATACATCCATCACCTGTCTCCTGCACGTTCCCCCACCGGGGATCAAGCCTGCAACCTGAGCATGTGCCCTGACTGAGAATTGATCCGGGACCTCTCAGTCCATGGTATCATGCTCAGTCCACTGAGCCACACTAGCCAGGCCACTTCTCTACCTTTTTTTTTTCCTCTCTACCTTTTTATGTAGCTGTTTATTAGGGAGCCTCGGTGTCAATGTCTGGGGAGGGGTGATGGTCTTTTTATCTAGTCAGAGATAAGCAGTAGCTTTCTGCACAATGGGTTTCTGCTGCAGTGGGGATTTGAGGAGACCTTTTGGTTTGGACCTGTAAGATAGCCTCAGGATGCAGCTGTCTAGACTGTCACCCCAAGTAAGTGTGGCCTGTACAGCAATCCTCTGATCCTGACCCAAGGCAGGAATCTCTGTTAGATTTAGGAATCGCAGGGATTAAAGGTTTAGAGCACTCTGCCCTTCTTTCTAATGGTAGGCTTGGTAACTAGTTGTAAATGGGAACTATGTACACAAATGACTAAGTTCATTTTACTCTTCTGCAACCATGCTGAAGACATGCAAGTTTTCTTTTCCCTGTGCTTTCTTTAGTCTTCAGTCATTATATAGTGTGCCATTAAAGAGTTGGGGGGGGAGTGAGGCCTTCAGAGATGAGGACAGGCTCTGTCCTCAGGGAGCTCGCAAACTTGGGATGGGAGACAGATAAACAGACAGTTGTAGAAGAGTTAGCAGGGATAAACACGTGAACCAGGTCTATGGTGGTACCTAGCACTGAGTGTGCATTTACGTAATTGGTATCAGTGTGGACACTTTGTCCTGACGTCAGGGTTCAGTGTGTATTTCCCCTTCCCCGTGCTAACTGTTAAGCATCGTGGATCACCTTCCCAGCAGGAAGCCCAGTGTTCCTTTCACCTATCTTCTCCCCTTCAGTAGTCCAGGACCTGATTTCCTTTGTGTATAGAGGCCGACTTGCTAACTGCCGTGATGATGGGTAGGTGAAGAAGGGTGATACCACTGGGAAGGTCCTGGGAAAAGAGGCTAGAGGAGAGGGTGGTGGGAGTTTATTGCTAGGGTAGGAAAAGAGAATTCAGATGAACTGAGCCAAGTACTATATACTAAATTCTCGTCATGTTATCTTAAGCATTTCTCACAATAACCTTCTCAGGTGGGTGATAGTAGTGTTCTTATTTTTCATATTTAAAAAAAAAAAAAAAAAAAAAAGGGGAAAGAAAACCTGAGCTTAGAAGTTAATTTGTCCTG